TTGGGCACTCCAGGGAAACTCTGCGCTTGGGCACTGCAGGGATATTGCTGGTTGGGCACTGCGGGGATACTCTGCGGTTGGGCACTGCAGGGATACTTGGTGGTTGGGCACTGCAGGGATGCTTGGTGGTTGGGCACCGCAGGCATACTTGGTGGTTGGTCACTAAAGTCAGCTTCCAGTCAGGCGAGGACAACATTTACGTTAAAATCTAACAACCCCACGCGAGGGTGGGGAATAAAGGAAAATCCTTCGTCCATGTAACACGAGATGAAAGGTTGAACGAAGAGGCCACAGCACATGCTTCCGCGTGCATGTGGCCCTGGATACGACCATTGTCAACCCTTAGCTTTTTTGGGGACACCTCCATCACAGCAATAGGAGTGCAAGAGAGATTCTCCGCACAAGAAGCTGCAAGTTGTGTTTGGACACCCCCATGCAGAGCGTTACCATTACAACTTACAGGAACAAGCATGCATCCGGGGTGTAATTAAATGCTAGAATTGCGAGGGTTCTTTGAAAAGCATTCAAGCTAGAGCGAAGTCACAGACAAGCTATATAGGGCGAGGCACGCAGCTACTGATATCTGCGATGAAATGGGAGAATTGGCGGGGAGAAGTCCGTACAAGCAATGTCAATTTCACTCAGGTCTATCTCAATGAGTGGTGCTTGAAGTGTAGCTATCCTCTTGTTTTCCCAGATGTTGATTGTTTTGCTTACTCTTAAGTCTTTTTTCTTTTACTATCTAGCCTTTGTTAAAGGAACTTCTATAAGTTAGATGCGACTTGAATTGGGGTTATCGATTTTCATGAACTGTTAAATAGACATTGATTAGCTTCCAAAGTTTTAATATGATTTTAACTGGAATTGTTAGATGGACTTAAACAGATTTTTCATTGAGTTCTAATTAGATTTCAATTAGTTTGATTCTAACTAAATTTCCCTTGTTCCAATTTACATCCGACCTAACAGCAATCCTATTTTAACTGGAGTTTAATTAGATTTGAAATTGGTGGCTTCCCTATCTAATGCCTGATATTGGATTATTTTCTAGATTGTTTTCGAGGGCCTAGATATAGTTTAATATCACGGGGGGTGGGGAGGGTAAGATAAAAGCGATGAAAGGAGGGCATTCTATCTCGCTGGATGCCACTTCATCTGACCATGTGTCATGAAGAGGCCACAGGAGAAGCAATGACTTTAATGGCAATTTGCCTTTGACATCTTGACTTCTCCTGGCGCACTTCAGAAGATAGTATTGAACTTGTATGCGAGACGAGGAGTGCGCTGCAAACCATTTCCTTGAAGGCAGGCATATTGAGAGCGTACAAAAGCTTCACATAGGTACCCCTCCAGAACTAACATCCTTCAGTAGGGATCCTACTTGTGATACTAGCGGGTCGTGGACTTTTCCAGATAAGTACTTACTTGTCCTCGAACTCTTAAACTTTGACAAGAAACCTTGCAAAACCACAACAATGGGGTCCCCACAGCATTCCACTCTAAAACCTTTGAGGGGCCCGTAGGGACCCAAAAGCCCAAGCTCCTTTGAGTTCCGGGCCAATTTGCCAAGCCCAGCTTTTTGCAGAAGGTCCTTTTAAGGCTCGAAAACAGGAACTAGGCGGCCCGAGGAACATTGTAGCTTCCATTCTGATTCCCCTTCCCAACCATGCCTATAGAACCCAGTATCATATAACCCGTAGCAAAGCCCAAAGCATCTCTGCCTGTTGATTTGTCATGCGCCCCCAAAGCATGCGGTCCTGTAGCTCCTTCAACTTGCGTCGGAGTTCTGCTATGAGCTGCTCCGCCTTCCTCAGCTGAGACCGAAGAGGCTCTTTGCTTCAGCCTGTTTTACTATTCTACGCTAGCTTGCCGCATGCACGTGTCAAGGGAGGTGTGTTAGCCTGACCGCACTGATAGCCATGAGGGCAATCTGCGCCAAGTCTCTTCATCTCTTCCTCGAGCTTTTTCATGGCCTCCTCTGCCTTCTTCCTTTGACGCTCTGCCTCTGCCTTCACCATGCCAATCATTGCCAATCCCCGTGATGTCTAAGCAAGCTGGGGTCGCAGTGCAGACTGGCTATCTGCTTCGACTTGTTCCCGCCTGCGCTTGACGGATTTGATCCTCAAGCTGCTCCCGAAGCCGACGAAGTTCTCCTGAGAACGGCTGCAAGGAATTGCTTTCGTGAGCCCTCTGCAAACTGCTGGCACGGCGAACAGCAAGCCAGAATTGTCACACGCTGCATCCCAACTATCAAGACGCACTTGATTTCTAGCTTGTCGCCTGGCCGTCGCATACCTTGTCCTCTTTGTCTTCATCTTGCACCGACGAAGGTGTAGGCTGACTTCTCAAAGCATATCATCTTGCAAAGGGTGTTTACTTATAAGTACATGTGCCATGACTGACGGAAACACTGATACACCTTCCGGAAGGCACCTTCCGAGCTGCCAGAATGACTGAGGGACTTTGGGTAACATGTCTAGAAAATCAGATGAGTCTGGAGCTGGTGCCTGTCGGCCCGCACGTACTGACTTCGAATAGTGTCTTGAATCAAACTCATGCGAAGCATGGTCAGCTCCGCCGCCCGGCAGCACACACCTGTGCACAGGATGGACCTGAAGGAATCTGTACCAACATTCTGAGGAATGTTCATCTTCGAATGGAAGCACGCAAACTGTGGCATGTTCCTTTGCATGCATATATCGACAGGTCAAACACACATGCGATTGGAGATGATTAGGATTAGAGCATCCAGCCAAGCAGACCCCATCCGATCCATATGACTGGACGCAGGATCTTCCAAACAGAGTGTGCTTCAGCGTTTCAATGTGGAGATACGGAAGGGTCTGCGGAAGACTTCAGCCAAGCTCAACAAGGTTGTTCCCTTCCAATGTCGGCCAGCCAGCCATCCACCTAAATATATATCAACTCAAAATTGGTCGCGGTAGTTTCAAGAGAGCATCCTTGTTTTGGCCTTCGGCCTTCAGTACAAGGCTTGGGCGGAAGCAGCCGGGGCAAGCCAGCCGCTATAAGGTTGTGTCTAAGGTGCCTCCAGAAGTGGTCTCAATATGAATCATGAAGGGGCATGGGCTCCGCCTGCTGTTGTGTAAACATGCTGCTGATGCTGCCGGTCTAGCATCTTACGGTTCAACCATGTTTCTGTGGGTGGTATGTGTAAACCATCAGTGAATACTCGGGGGGGTTCCGGAGGCGCTCCACAAAGCCTGAAATCGCGAATTGCAAGTTGACCTCCCCTGGTGTCAGGTTGCTGCACAAGCCTTCGTTATCATCTGGTCTCGGAAGGTATCCTCGAATTACGTGCAGACTCATGCTAATCACCAGGTGGAAGTTCGCAGTGCGCTTGAATTAGTAAAGCCCCTCGAACCAGCGCTGGCGCTGCTAGTCCAGCTTGCGAAAAAGTGGCTGTTCTCAAAACGAGCAAGGACCTCTCTCTCTAGCTGCAGCTAGGCTAGAGTCGGAGGCAAACGTTTTGCAACTAGTCCACGGGATCGTTCTCTGAACATATCTCAAATGGCCGGCGCTTTGTCAGCCATGGATGCGAACTGGCTGAAGAAGATCGGAGGGTAGACTTCCACATCGTGACACCACTTACCTCATGAAAGAAGCCTACGTGCGAATTGCTAGCAGTGCGTCTACCCTCGATCGATGACTCTTCAACACTGATTCAGAAAACAAGATCAAAGTCATTATGTTGACCGGATTTTAGGCCGGTGCACCGCACGGCCTTGCGGCTTGCCTTGCGGTTTGCTGCCAGCATGTTGCTGAGCCTCTGACTTGTCCAGCAGCTGGCAAAGAAGAGTCATAGCACGCGCGTCCACATCTTCCTCAGCACTCATCAGTCGCTGCATGGTGGCCTCAGGATCTACACCGTCGGATCCCTCAGCATCCTCGCTCTGCTCAGGGCTTTCCTCCCGGCTGGGATCCTGTCTCGGCAGCTCATTGGAGTAGATTCGAACCGCTGGGTTCTGCTCCAATTCTGTATGCTGTGTGCTTCCATCCCAGCGCATGGGCGTGTCCAACCTGACCTGCAATCCACTGAACTTGCCATGCAAGTTGAGGAGGTTTGCTATAATGGGAAGCGATCGTGAGTGCAGGCAGATTTCAAGACCTGATATGCGAGTCATTCTCTCGACCCCCAAACGAGAGAAGTTTGCCTGAAGCTCTCTGTCGCACACCTCCGGTACTGGGCTGAGGCGGACGGCCAAGCAATATGGCAGAACTGCACTGACTGCACCAGGCGTGTGCGGCCATGGAGGAATCACCAATGGCAGGGATGGCATGGAGGGAGCTGGCCCAGGCCCACGATTGGCTACCAAAGCGTCGAGAAAGAGTGTCGTCTTCCGCGAGCTGTCTACCAAAGCAGACTCTAAGGAGAGGGCATGAGGGTATTGCTTCTGAATAGCCTTGCCACCATTGGCGTCAGGCACGTTCCAGGACTTCATCATGGCTTGTGCTGCGCGTTGACTCATCTGGTCTGCCACCTCTTTGATTGAGGACATTTTACGGAGAACCAGCAGAGCCCGCCAAGCAGCTTTCTTACGCTCTTCGATGGGGTCATCTGGTCTGTGCACTCTGCCAGCTGAAAGTGGTGCCGAAGGTCCAGGCATGGCGAACCCCGGCGTGGCTAATTTTCTTGAGCCATCAATGACCTGCAACCATGCATCTCGCCTGCGTGCAGCGATTAGGACGACAACGTCTGATTGAACGAGCAAGCGCAGCAAGAATCGAGGAAACTGCAGCTTCTGGGCCTTCAAAATCCCGCCGCGGCTCAGCCGGAGCCGGGCCAACAGGCTCTGGCTCCTTCTCCTGGACTTGATCCAGCTGCGACCGCGGCATGTCGCTGCATGTCAAGATGTGCCTCAGGCCTAACAGCCCAGCATTTCGTTGCTCTGGCCTCCTTGGGCTTGCTCGGCAAGACAACCGCTTGTGTCGTGTTGACCCCAGTGGATCGCAGCGAGGGCCTCGCATCTCAACATTCGTCTACCAGACCCCGACAGTTTATCACCGCATCTCAGCGTCATGTTCTTGACGAGATTGGAGATGGCAAGTCTGGCGCACGCACCACTACTTTGTGCTAGAGTTCATTTCTAGGTTCTTTGGCTGAGGGGCTTCTCGGGAGCAGCAGGCGGTGCAGGCAGGGGAAGCTTCTGAATCGTTTGTGCCAGACGCTGCATCTCACCGCCACCAGCCTCTGCTCAGTACTCTGGACAAACAACGAAAGCCAAACAATTGCAGCACAAACTTGAGCTTCCGCCACTACAAGACAACAAGACCACAGTTCATGTTGGGACACTCAAAGAACAAGCCGAAGCAAAACCTCTGGTTGCCAGCCGAAGTAGCGGAAAGATTCTGGCCCATCTGTGCCAACAGACTTGAAAGCTCTGCGGTGACGTGCCTGCCACTAGCCTTCAGCCCAATCCTTGGCTCTGCGACTTGTGGCCAAGATTCATATGCGCAAAAATCAATATTACCTAGATAAATGAGGGACGTGGGTTCCTTGCTGGTGAATATTTTAAGGACTATACTACAAGAGGGACCCCTATGTCCACCCTCCATGGTCCCTTGGCAAGGCTGATATTGACTGATGTTGACTGTAGCTCATATAGCCTTGCCTCCGCGCTTGTGACTTGCCGGATGGGGGTTATCACAACTGGCGCCTGTTGCACGCGACGCAAGAGTCGTGCGCATCACAACCAGTTCATAAACCTGAATAGACCCAGCATTCCTCTGGTTGATTCTGCCTGTGAGAATATCTCCCTCCACGTTGCCGTTTTCTCCACATGGGATCTTGAAAGAATTTCACTGTACTAGAATGAGATCTGCCATGTGCCAGGCAGCACCTAGACTTGAGTTTTCATCCCGATGTTGGGCTCAATCCAGAAGGGCGCCCATGACGACGAGGCACATGCAAAGAATGTCAAGGCGCCAAGGGACATGTTTCGCTTAAAGCCAGATCCCGCGAGAAGATGTCGTGGTTTTGTATCAAGAGGATGGGAGCCACAGGAAGGGACCACCCCTAACGTTTGTATGGTATGACTGTTTCCGAATTTCAGGGTAGGCACATTTATAATGCTTAGGTATGGCTATTCACAAGTTTCAGGACACAGGAAAAAGAAAGGGCCCTCATATGATGACACTTAGGTATGACGATTTTCAAGGGAGAAGGATGCAAAGTGGCACATATGATACTTAGGTATCATCACAAGATGCCTACAGTTTTGGATCTTCCAGTACTGCTTCAGCATATAATTCTTGCGAAGAAAAGCAAATGCGCTTTCCGTCTCACATATATACATATATATATATAGACATGTTGCCTACAACAATTTGTGTTGGAAGCCAGAAGGAAATCCATACTGACAGGTGTTCCCATTCATTTTAAAGGCTGCTACAACAGCTTGTGTTGGACGTCCAGATGACTCGAGTGCCTGCAGCACATCAAGAGAGAATCACATTAGAAAAGCCCAAATGAGATTCAGTTGCGCATGTGTCCCGCAACTGCAGGTCCCTGCTTTGATGAGTAGCAGCTGAGATTCTGCAGCCATTCCACCGCTTCCTTGCCGATGACGGAGCTACCCTCTGGAAGCCTCAGATCTTTTGACGCTGAGGTCTGCATCCTAATTCAGATCCAGTCTCAGCCATCTCTCCATGCTGGCCCTACTTCGGCCAAGGGTCGCAACCTCTTTTTCCACCACCTCTGGCGGACCGGCATCTGGCAGCGCCTGCAAATGCAAAGCTCAGGTAAGCTGGTTCGTCAGAGCTCTTTACCCACCTGGATGGAGGCTAGGATCTCGCGCATATCACTACTTCCTGTGGCCAGGGACCTTGGCACGAGACATTGATTGCATCGCTCACGGAACTCAGAAGCTCCAGGCGCAAAATACCGTGCTAGGTGCATGTTGCTTGAAACTCTATCGAGGGCAGTCCTGATAGAAGCAAGGAAAACTAGCTGGCCAGAATGCAAACAGGTAGCTCAGCCACACGAGATAACAGCGGGCTTAGATCACCCCAAACCTCCGTCCATGGGAGCAGCTTCAGAGGTCTTAACTGTGATTTTGCAAGAGACCGCAGCCCAACCCACAACCCACAGGCAGCCTGCGACATGAAATCAAGTGCAACTCGGCCTTGCTTGACGAGGCCTTGAGTGCGGACTGGAGCAGTCGAAACTCTGCCTCGCCGATGAGGGGCTCCTCTTCCTGGGATCCGCAGCAAAGTAAATGCTACAAGTGGTTGACATTCAACAGATGCTGTGTTGGCGAAGAGTTTTGAGTCCCAGTCCCTGTGCTTCTCTGCCCTTCAATCGGTGAGCTGAGGTGCGCGCCTGCTGCACTGAGTTGCGTGACACTCGCTCCTGCTTCAGAGCCTGCGCCGGCACACAGCTGCAGATGATGTTGGGATGTCTCATCAAGTGCACTCTCCTTCTCTGCTTCTTCTTCTCCTCCTCTCTCTTCTTCTAATTAATTTTAACTATGGGTCACAGTCCCCCTGAGGAGCACGTTCGGGCGGACCCCGTCCTCTGTCTTTCATTCATTCTTTCATTGTCTCTTCTTCTTCTACAGGCTGTACTCCCCTCATTCAGCAGAGTCGGGGCAAGCCCCATAGCCTGCGCAGGTTCGTCCGGTTTCATTCCCTCCCGCTCGCTCTTTCTTTCTTTCTTTGAGGGCTAAAGGGCACCCTACGGTAGCCCGAACAAGCTCCCGCAGCACCTCCGCGCAGCATGTCTGGCATCCGCCCTCCCGCTCTCTCTCTTCTTCTTCTACTTCTTCTATAGGTTCTGCAGAGCCCTCAAGCTCTGCTGGGGCTAGGCCCCCAACCCGCGCATGATCTGGTCTCAATTCCCAGGAGGCCCGGAACCAACTATCTCTCTCTCTCTCATCCGAGAATGGCTGACTCACGCTCGGCTTGTGTTCCATGATTCGCCTGCATCTTGGCCAGGAGCTCCCGCTGAGCCTTTTTCAAAGCCTGCGAGCCGAGAAGCTACACTCAAGTTATCACCCCGTAGCAGCAGCAGTCAGTACACGTCAGTACACTCAGCAAGTGCTCAGGAATTCAACTATTGCACCCCTGGCCTTGATCTCTTCCAGTAGCGGGTCCACCTGTTCCTTCTTCCACTGCCTCAGGCCCCATCAAAATCGCCGGCAAATATCAGAAGAGCATCCCAAAAAGTTAGCAAACACTAGTTTCAAGCTCAAGGTACTCGTACATGTCATCCACCTCTGCCTGGCTGTAAATCTTTGGATCCTTCAGCCCGGGGAAAGTGTAAGATTGCAAAGCTTACTGCTTGAGCACTGACTGGGCTTGATCGTAACGGCGAATCTGGCATAGCACGTCTGGGAAGTCTGAGCCTCCTCGTTGCAGCTGACGCCGAAAAGCGCCTGGAGATCAAATACCATTCCATAGCACTTCTGCGCTTGACCATGCTGGTTCACCCGATGCCGGCATAACAGAGCTTCGGCAAGCTTCTCACCGACAAACATGTCGCAAACTGCAACAAGCATCGCTGTGGCACTGAATCTAGGGTCAAAATCCAGCATGCGCCCAGATCCTGCCCAACCGTTCAGCTTGCATAAAGAGATAGGAATCCAACTCTGAACATGGTGGAGAAGCCGATCACTGAGCTTCGCGGTGCACATGGCCTCTGCCCTTCGCTTCATCTTTTCTTCGTTCCATCGAGCTTCGATGTCCTATACACAGACTGCCACCATCTTCCAAGCGCAGGTAGGGAGCTCTCACATGCTGGCTTCACGAGGCCAGGATGGTTTCCCTAGCCTTCCACGTGATTTGCGCACCGCGGCTGGCTCAAGCTGTCGCAAGTATAAATGCTGTGCTGTTGAAGCATCAAAAGAATTTCAATTTTCTGTATGGATTCAGTCCGCGCCCCATCCGGTTGCAGAGGTAAGGTGCAAGTGTGACAGGTGCTTGACGCTAATTGGCTAATTCACTTAGGCTTCTGCGCCTGAAACCGTCTTATAGCGTCTCTCTTCTCCTGCCCAATCATGGATGCAAGGTGAGAAGCGATGATGCCACTGCTTCCCACGCCAACAAAGAGCTCTTGACATATCACGGCACAGGATAGGTATGGCGAAGAAGCACAAACAGGACCACTTGAGGCGTCGGTGGCCTCGTCCCCCTGGTGATACTTGGCCTGCGTGGCTCGCAGCTCACTGGCCAGGCGACCGCGGTCTCCCTCGAGGTCGAGGATATGGACGTGATACCTCCCGTGTCGCAGTGCTTACAGAAACGTGCTGGGGCAGGTTGGCAGACAGGCGCGCAGAGAAAGCAGCATGGCCAGCTGTTCCAGCCACTGCGCTAAGTCCTCACACACCTCGCCCACGCGCTCCTGTTCCCAATTTGTGTCTCGGCTTGGTTTACAGGTGTCCGTGAGAAAGGCCAATCGCTCCTCCGTGTACTCCCGCAGAATCTCTGGTCTGTCGTGCCAGCCCGGGTTCTGCAGGACCTACAATGTCTTGCAAGGGGGTTACAAGTACAGAAATTATGTCTTCTGGCATCTGGGGTTTCACCGGAGACGAACTCACCAAATCACGAGATCGCTGCAATCGCTGGCAAGGACTGACAATGGGCTGCTGGCTTTGTCGCCGAGTCGCATTGACGGCGTGTGTGATTCGGTGCAACGCAAAATCCGCCAGCTCTAGCTGCTCCTCTCACCATGCGCTTGCACACAAGAAATAAAGCTACTTGCGACACTTGCAGGCTAAGATTCGGCAACAACACAGGTGTGTATCACCAACGTGCAGCGTGACGGAGTGGCACCTTGAAGGATGCATGTGGGCCGATCGCCGGCGCCACGTCCCCTGGATGTGGGGCACCTGGTTGCAAACTTTGCAAAATGAAGCCGGTGGCCGGCTTCGTGATCAGTGTCCGCCCGGTGTCGTGCTGGCATGTGGAACGACCTCGCGAGCCATGCAGCCACGATGCCTTTGGAGGTCGCACTACTTTTGCTTGGTGAGCGGAGTTGACGCAGATGAGATAACACCTGCCCAGCAATTGGTACATAGCTTTTGCCGGTCAAGCTGCACGCCGCCTTCCATGCAGATTTACATTAGACTGCGCGAACTATGTTAATAACTGTTTATATTTTTCTCATATAGAACCACGTCTTGGCCTGGTGTTGCCACTCCATTTGACACTTCTTGATGTCACGATCTGCAGGAGCTTCTGCGGCCCAAGAGCCTCGGTTTTGCTGAGCAGCCTGGCAAAGTAAAGTGGGATGACTGGAAAGTAACCCAGGCCAAGCGACTGAGGCCCAACTGCTTGCCAGTGTTGTCTTTGAATGTAAGCCAGACCTATCCAACATGCTGCTGTGTCTCACGGTCTCTCCACTTTGTTCTTCATGCTTGGCCCGAAAACACCAACATCTTGACTGCAGCCGGCAGCCCCATCAGCCCGACAGTCTGAATAGCCATGCTGGCGTCACAAGTCGTACTATCCTGCCTCTGCCCAGGCCTTTGGCTTTTCGTGAACTTCCAGACCTTTCTTGCAACGACAGCTTTTGCATGGTGAGCTTGCTTAGCAGGAGAACAGCACAGATTGTTGAAGCTACCCCGAATCGATTCATGCAGGCTGCCTAGCAGGCCAACAGCCAGCTTCAACACCTGAGAAGCCGCAGCTGGCTGGCTGAACGCGGGCCTTGCAGGTTTGTCATCACAGCATTGCTTAGTGAATGCCGTGACTATTGACTGTTGACTGCACCCAAGCGTCTCTATCTGCGCGGAATCTTGAGATATCAACTTTTGCATCCTTGGGCTGTGCCAGACCAGGTCTTTGTACTGACAATTCTATGAATTTCAGATTTGGCCAGTTTGTAGCAACATGGGTGTATTTGTATGTGCTCCCCCGAAGCGAGCAGCGAGCGGCCCAAGCACCAAATTGAACGGCGCGAAGCGTGCCAGAAGCAAAGCCTACCGATCCACATAAGAAATGGCCTGCCGACTTTGTGTGTTGCGTGATTCTTGAGCAGCTCAACTTATTGAATATCTCTGGTCTGCATTTTCAGATCCAAAAACTTCCGCCAAAGGCTCTGGGCATCCTTGGTATCTGTCTGGACCCCGAGAGACTTGGTGTCTGCTGGCAGGAACAAAGGGTCCAAGCCCATCTCAAGGAGTTGGCCTGTCCTGCCAGGCAATAAAAGGACCACATCTCGAGATGGGATTAATTACCCCCTGAGGTGATTGTAGTATAGGTCACCCCTCCCAAAATTCTGGAAGTAAGGGGAATGCGGGTCAACTCCCAAAAGACTAAGCTCCGATACTGCAGCACACGCAGATCTCAAACCATGTTGACGCCAAGTGCAAACGGAAGTGGCAGCTGTGCCTGCTGATGTCGCAGAGGAGTCGTTGTGAGGTCGTCGGCATGAGTGCTGCAGCAGTGTAGCGCCCAAGGGCGTCGGGCTCAGCCCCTTCTTCTTCTACGTCTCTACTACTCTCTCTCTCTCTCTCCCTCTGTCCCATATCTCTCTGTACCTTTCTTGTTCTTACCTTTATGGATTGAGCGCAGCCTTCAGAAGACTTAGATAAATGTCTCGCAATTCTTGAATGTGGTACAGGTTGGTCATTCTGATGCAAACTGGGCAGAAGCTATGCTTGCGTCCTAACGCAGGTGTGGTGGCAGGCAGCCGGCTTGCTCATCTAGCTGGGGCCAAACGGGCCCCAGCAACATCCCCAGGGTTGCTTCACTTTGAAATCCCAAGGTTAAAGGAGCACTACTCACTCAGGCCTGATAGCGGATCATCTAGACATAGTTAGCTCAGTTAGGCCATGCCCATGCATTGCGCGGATGTGCGATACATGCATCGCGCCCACAAATCCCTGAACTGGGAAATGGCCACGGCAGGGCAGAGCTCAAGTGAAAGAATCAAGACATGCTGGTAAATGGGGCTAGTTTGCTACAGATGCTTTGCAAATGAACGCAGGTGGCAGACTTGAGTGACAGTAATCTTCACTTGCGGATACCTAGTCCGAAGGACTTCGGCAACAAAATGAGACAAGCTAACATTCTCATCCCACCACTGAGTTGCAGTGACGTTGACCGACAGGTTGGCAATGAGCTGTCCTGAATGTTCTTTCGCCAAGTGCAGTGGTACAGTAGATGCTACACGGAAGCCACGTGTCCGCAAAATTCACAAGTTTCTCATGTCAAGGGCGCCGCATCTAGGGATCATGAAACTTGGCCACGTTTCTCAACTCTGCCATGCGATCTTCATGCTCGGCCACTTTGTTCCAGTGCTTTTCCTGCAGGAAAGTGCGACGCTGAACACAGTGAAACCAGAAAGGGTGATGAAGGCCACAGCATAGCCAGCCAGCACCGCGCTAAGCACTGCGTTATTGCTTCAACCCACGGGGGCTTTTAAACGGGATATCCGCCGACCCCGCTCTGGGGGTCGAGCGCCGGGGAAGCCCTTTGTATGGTGGCTTCTACATGGCTACCTCCAACTGCTTTCTACCTTTTACTCCATCTTGAATCCGGTTGTTACTTGGTGGCGGTCGTGCTCGGTTCGGGCCTGCCGCACCCTCCACCCCCCAACCCTCCCCTGCAACCAAGGCCCTTGGTCTACCCCCCCCCCCTCCACCAGGCCAGCTCCGATGGGTATCCCACAGGGCATCCCTTAAAAAACGCCACTGTTCTTCTTTTTAGACGCGCTAGAAACAAAAATAAAACACCAGTTGCGAAATTTGCTCCGTCCCTGGGGCCCGTGCCCCTACCCCCTACCCCCCCAGAACCGAAGCCCTTG